CTGGGGCTGGGGCTGGGGCTGGGGCTGGGGCTGGGGCTGGGGCTGGGTGCTTGGTACCTGCTCGTATAACCTTACTGGTTCATGTTCAGGCAGCACTAGACACAGCATGGAGCCAGAGTTGGTAATGTTTACTTTGCATAACTGCTGTTGCAGGAGGACAGGATGCCTGCAGGGTCGAGCAAAATGATCACTGCCTACATCCAAGTAATACAAGACCTTCAAGGAGATGAGGAAAATAAGCACAGGAAAGCAGCTACAAGTCTGGACTTTTTAGAAACTCCTCCCAAAACCTTCTACCCTCTTGGGCCAGAGGAAGGCGCCCTTCCCTGTGGATGATGCCAAGCTCTGCCTCTGCAAACACTCCTGTGCAACACAATCAAGAGGCTGGAACACAAGCATAATGCTTCTTTAGAACAGAAGGTGCATCATTATTTTCCAAACACTTTAGAAAAACACCTTAATTTCACTTTATAAGTGATAGCACAGTTAATCCAATGGGTAAAACAATGTAACTGTGCACACGTGTATACACCACATAATAAGGAATTCAAGGTAACCTTATAATTACATTTCATTTTGGTAGATATGCTGTATTTCTGTGCCCTCAAAGTTACTCTAATTGCATCTAACTATCTTAGGAATTTCCATTAGTCACATATTTCTCTCCAGATGTAGAAAGTGATTGTAGTTCCTAAAGGAAGACTCCTAGGATAAGAACTTGCTAGAATTTGCCCTCTCTGCTATAGAAAGCTCAAGAACACCAAAGTCCCCAGGCCTTGCTTGCTGGGGTTCCCCTCCTCTGCCCCATCACCCTGTATCTGGAATGATTCTGAAGCCTGAGTGATTTCATCTCATAACATTCAAAGGATGTCTTGGGTCCCTAGGCAGTCACATCCAAAATATGCTGTGCTGCCTTGTCTGGACAAAGCAGCACAAGCCAGCTTACAGGTACCTGAGAGTCACCAGAAAGGAGCAACCATGAGAAGAGAGAGAGGGAGAAAGAGGGGGGGGGTTCTGAAGGAGTACCATTTACTCTTCATCTTCATCCATAAGTAAAGTTCTTAACAGTCAAATCAAACTCTCTACCCATATACCCTTTTCTAAGAAGATCAGCCAAAGGTGAGGAAGGGCCTCCCTGTCTTGCCACACAAGTTGACACAGCTGGTCAACCTCATGCACAATGACTGTCTCCAAGCCTGTATATTCTATACTGAATGGCTTAACTTTGCCAGGTCTTCCCATTGACTTCACTACCAAACAAATATTACTGTCTGCCTACATGCTTGTCACAGCCTCCTTTCTGCTCTCCCTATAGCTACTTCCATCCCTTTGGGAAGTTTTCTACCCAACTGTGTCAGCCTTGTGAAAGCTAGAGAGGAGACTAGAGGCCCTCTCAAGGCTTGAAAGACCCTGAGGATGTGATCTGCCACCTCCTGATCTAGGCTCCAGCTGCCCTGGACAGGACAGTTCCTGCCACTCTGCCTCCAGATCAGAAGTTTCTTCCTTCAAGGAGCTTTTGTTGGCTTTTCTAACCAACCCAAATTTGACCCTATTTTTCACTTCATGAATACTATGAAACTCTTCCTTCAT